AGTAAACCTTTTCTTTTTTTCGTTGTTTTTGTTGTAAGAACCAGCTGTAATAATCTTGCTCTGTAACTATCTTGCTGCTTCTCAGCAGAAATCCACTTTTCCAACCGAAATTATAATATGAACTAACTGTATTCTTAATAATTTGGAAACCTCAGACATAGTTCCAACATTTATCACAGACTCTACCAACAAAAACTTTTTTAGCTCTCAAACACTGAAATTAGGAAATTTATAAACACTAAACCTCATCTAATAGAGAGTTTCTGTCTCCAAAAATTTCTTCAGTTTTTATTTACAGTTTTTTTTTTTACAGTTTTTTATTTACATCTTCTAAGTGCTAAAAAAACTCTAAATAAAACTTCTACTTTCTTTTTTGTTTATCATAGAATACTAGCAAAAGTTATATTTAAGCTGTATTACTGCGCTCAAGTAAAAAAAATAATTTAAAAAAAAACCAATTCAAAAAACACAAGACCAAATTGAAGCATAGCACGAAAGAAGCAATGAAGAAGCGTTATGTAACTTTTGAATACAATTATTAATACTATAGAAAATTCCAAGCAGAAAAATGAGTTTGTCACACAGTGATATACATTTAACAGTGACATTTATGCTTTTTAGGCTGTCACGTTCTGAGCAGTCATCGTAAATTACGCAAAAAAGAGTAGGCCAAATTTCCAACTTTTTTTTTGAAGACATTACAAGGTGACTAAAGACTTTGATTCTCTTATAAACAGAAGCAGTTATTTTTGCCGTCATCAAATATACAAAAGAATTTCTATCTAATAAACATTAAACCTTCACGTGTTCCCATTTATGTCAAATTTGGCATCCAGCGACATTTTATAAGCAAAGTTCTTTTTATGTCTTTCAAAAATTTAAATAAGACTTTTTTTTCTGCCTTGCTATTAAATCTTCAAGTTTTATTAGAAGGTCGTCAAAAAAAAAAACAATATCTGAAACTTAATTATTAACACCTAAACCGTCTAGACGAAAAAAAAAA